GAGATGGATATTGAATTTGCAAATCAAATGACTGCAGATTCTGTGAGCATCGATTCCGAAAACTCTGCTATCTTTAAAAAATGGGAAACAAGTTAAATGTCGGTTGGCAAGACGTTATCGTATCTGTCATTGTCAAACCAGTTATTGGTAGACGTAGTCAACTTTCGCTATCGAAAGAGCAGTTCATTGATATTCAGAATTTTTGCAGATCATCATTTTCATGAATTATTCTGCAATCATGTAGAGATGATCAACAAGAAATGCAATAAAACTGAACCAACTCTGTATATAAAAAAAATATTAATAAATAAGATGCGTCATTCTACCGAATCGGTCTAATAGAAAAAAGCTTTACTATCATTACGATTCATTTGATATCAATATGTGTTTCATCATTGATTACTCATATTCTTTTAGTAAAATAGTTATTCGGTATGATTATTTAGTCAAACAAATGAAATCAAAAATTCACCAAATGGGTAGTGACCCTAACTTTATGAGAAATGCTATCCATAACGTTCTGTCAAGATTTACGCAAGCTTTTCGACTTTAAATGAAAAACTAAATATAAGGTTTTGTAGAGCAAAATTCGCTCTACAAAACCATATATGCTGCCTCTCTTCAGAATATAGCCATTTTCAGATTTTACCTTCGACTTTTTCTCTCGTTGCTCTAAGAATGTCAATAGAAAAAGTCATGCAGATAGACTTTTAAGAAAATTAATATAGTCCATGTTGTAGAGCTTTTCATGCTGATCATTTTCATAAAAAAATTTTCTTGAGTTGACCGAAAAATAAAATTACTAGGATCAAAATACTGAAAACATGGTATTTAAACACACAAAGTTATTGCTTAGTACATTGTTTAGTATTTTGACGATAACATCGTTATTTATGGATCTAGTTTGAAGTTTTTTTTAATAAAATGATCAGCGAAAAATTCTCTACAAAATCTGATAGAAAACAAAAGAATCAAAACACTTTGTGTTTTTATGGTAGATTTCCCATGGAATTACCCATATATAATAGTACGTAAGATCTTCTGTAGACATCATAGATATGTAAAACAGATTTATTTGTCAATTAATTCAATGATTATGATAATAAGAGTATTGAATTATGAAAACGGAATTAAAAAAATGAAAGATAATGAGTGAATAGTAACAGTGCAAAATAAAAATAGGGCGCTCGTCGAAAAAAAATTTCTGTTCGAAATGAAGAAACTAGAAAGGTTCTTACTCTAATTTTCGATTATTCTACAAAACTATTATCGTCTACGAGAAGTTTCTCATTTTACATATTTTGTATTAGAATATTAAGGTTTAAGGATATATAATCGTTTAAATTCATGATTACCAACAATGACTATTTTTAAATGATATTGAGTCAAACTTTTTAAACAATTTACAAATTTTTCAATTTCACTTTTTGTTCCATTACGAGTAAAATCGCCTGAATGTAGTGCTATATCATATCATCCGGAAGAGTGAAATCATAATTATCATGATTATCACTCTCCAAGAAAGTAAAAGCAAAAATTTTTTATGATGTAAGTAGTTATCACACAATTCAATGAAATAGAAAAAAAACAGTCACTACTAATTTCATACATTGCAACATTCTGTTTTGATTCATTCTTTTTTTACAAATGAAATAAATCTGTAAATATTAAGATTATCATTCAGTGCACATTAGAAAGATAGGTGTATGGATGTTAATTTCTGTTTTTTCATTAAAGTCAGAACCACACTTGCGCATCCACATCCCACATCCACATCCTGAAGATGAAGAAAAGAGTAGTTGGGTGTGGATGTGGGTGAGAAACTACCATAACGCGTTTTGGCTTAGTTGTCGAGTTTGATTATTTCATAAAAATGGCACTATAAAAATAGTCATTAGTCAGAAGAATTACCCAATGGAAAAAAATTGCTGCGCAAACTAATATAATACGCTATGACTTACTGAAATCGACGTCTTCAATACAGACAATATCAATTTAATAGAAAAATCAAATAAAAAATTAATATTAAAACAGTAAATCTCTCGAATCAAAGATTGTTTTCTTTATTCTTATTTACTTGTGCCACACAAAAGATAAAAGTACAATTCATATAGATATAACATGCAATTACAACAGAATGATAAAAATGACTCATGATAACTGACGACTGCAACTTTCTTTCACATTTCTAAACTCGCTCTGTCAATATTTTTCTTTTACTCAAACGAAACAATAATTCACTACATTATTCGGTCGTCATTTTATAAAATTCTTTCGCAGTAATAGTCGTATTGGAGAAACTATATGTACATAATTTTGTTGGTTTTATTTATTTTTGTTAATGGAAAGTAAAAAAATCATTTCTTAGTGTCCTCTATCAATATCAACAATCGAAGGTTTACTACATGATGCATATATTCCCGGTCTCGTGGCAATTGTTGTCAATTCGACTGGTATTCTCTATGAGCAAGCCATTGGCTACCATTCACCTATAATTTCAAACGAATGTAAACCAATGAATTCTTCTAACTCAATTTTTGTTTTGGCTTCAATCTCAAAAACATTCATTGCTGTAGCAGTTATGCAACTTGTAGAATTGAATCATTTGAATCTTGATACAGATATCAATCATTACTTGTCATCTGAAATGAAAGTCATTCATCCATTGCATCCGAATATTCCAATTACTATACGACATTTGCTCTCACATACAGCTGGTATTAAATCAAATTTTGAAGAAGAACTTAAACATTTTAAGCCGAATGATGATTTTACACAAACAAATCTCACCAAAATCATCTCAAAATATTTGAATAACAAATCAAATTGGTTATCTGAATCACCTGGTAATGTGACTCATTATTCAAATATTGGTCCAAGTTTAGCTGCATTAATTGTTGAACATGTAACAAATATGTCATTCGAACAATATGTCCAAAATAACATTCTCAAACGTTTAGATATTGACAAAAACGAAGCTGCTTATCGAATAAGTAATTTTGAACGTAGAAAGAAAGATCTTGTAGAACATTTTATATACAATTCTTCTTGGCTAGAAAAATTTCAAAACTTAGTCCCACAATTAAATATTATTCAAGTAAACTATTAATTATAGAAAAGATTTAAAATAACTTATTCTAGGCTAGTAATTCGTCCGATTGGCTCTATATTCCTCATTATGGTGAAAGTGATTATCCATCCGGTTCTCTTCGTATGTCAGCTCGTTCACTTGCTATTTTTCTTCAATCATTTCTTAATAATTGCTCATCTCTCTTACTCAATTCATCATCTGTCGATGAAATGCTTAAGATTGTTCGACATGAAGATTCAGATATTGAATTTGGTTTAATTTGGAATTGGCGAATTATTAGAGGACGACGTTTCATTGGACATCGAGGTGCAATACCAGGTGTCACAAATATAATGATGGCAAATGAAAAACGAACTCTTGGTGTAATTATTTTGTCAAATGGTGATATTAGTAAAGATGATGATCAAGCAAAAAAAGTTTACGAAACAATAATCAATATTATGTTACAACTATTCGATTGTTTTGAAGAAGTATAACCTTGTTTTATGCTCATCAAATGAAATAAACGATTGTTCGAATTCATATCAATTTTGTTTTTCAGATTTATGTTTCTCTAATGTTTTCTTTTCATCATTTCATAGAAGCAGAAGAATACGTATGGAAGAAATGAGCTTGTTGCCAGTTTTTACATTTCATGATTACAAAAATTGTTTTCACAAACATCTTTTTCGAAATGATCAGTTTCAAAACAAATAAACTTTTATTAAATAATTGTCATCTGTTTTATCACTGTTGTCCATCACAATTTACTAATCAAGTAACTGTTTATCGATTGTTTTCAGTTTCCATGGAAAATCAGCAGCTACCGGGATTTATTGGGATTTGTTAATAAATTCTCATATATTTTGAAATAAATCTTACATAATTCCCGAGGGTGAGAGCTTAGTGAGGGTGAGGGCGAAGACTCAAAAGGGAACATTCCCAGGTGCCCATTCGCTTTTGAGCCAGGATTCAGTGCATCTTGTAAACCTTGGTGAGTTATGCCAACTATAAAAAGAGTTCATGCCTCTAGTCTGTATGGGAGGAAATTGAACGTTTTTTACTACTTCGACTGAGCCTTTTTATCAGGAAAAATCACTGTCTCAGCCAATATAAAGTATGTTCCATAATAATTGGGAATAAATTGTTAAATGATATTTTTCATACTCTTGTTTGACGTAGAGGACTGAAATTTTTATCACAAATATATCTAATCAAGATCCTTTACTTCTGAAAGTTTCAAGTCTCTAGCTATAGCTAGCAGTGAAATATATCGACAAGATTGAAACACATAAATTTTCGTACTCGGTTTTAGCCGCATTGCCACTGTAAAAAATGAGGCAAAAATTGAGATGAAAGTTTATGTGTTTCAATCTTGTCGACGTATTTCACTGCTAGCTACAGCTAGAGACTTGAAACTTTCAGAAGTAAAGGACCTTGATTAGATATATTTGTGATAAAAGGGTGCGGGTGTGGGAGTGTGCGAGTATGGGTGTGACTGGGGTGTGCGTGTGGGTCTGGGTGTGGGTGGGTGTGGGTGCGGGTGTGGGTGTGGATGTGTCTGTTCTCTCTTCTGAACACCCACACCCACGTCAATTCACGGCTGCTCGATGAAGGCTCATCTTCCAAGGCTGCCCGCAGATCTTCGTTGTCCAACGTTGATGGCCGGCCGGAACGTGGTTGATCTTCGAGACTAAGGTCACCGGAATCGAATCGTTTGTACCACCGGGAAACAGTTGCGTAGTGGACGGTTCCTTCGCCTTCAGCATCACAAATCTCTTTCGCAGCATCTCTGGTCGAAAGTCGTCGCTTCCAACAATAGTGTATCAAGACTTGAAGCTCGATTTTGTCCAATGTCATCTGAAACTTTGAGGGTAAAGATGAATCCGGAACACGATAAACACAAAAACAACAAAAATTGTGCATAAAACACACAAAAAATAAACAAAAATGCGCATAAAAATCAACTTTTTCGCAAGTGTTGCAGAACTTTTTGGCCAACCTAATATTTCTGGAATGTTCAATTAGTTTTTGCTCGATGATCAGAGATAGTGAGTTCGTCAGAAGTATCAGTACATGGAAAGTAGTGGAAAAACTTCAGAATTCAGTCAATCGATTCATACGATAATCATTTTAACTTAAAAATAATTCAGTAAGGTGTCTTAATGGAATCATGAAATTATAACCGAAAACAAAAGATTTGCTGATTTTGTCATTTGTATCTGAAAGAATGAGACATTTAGTCACTTGTCTTAGTGTCTTCGACTAGAAATAATTGCTTCCAATGATTATTTCTATTAGTAGTATATGTATATATATTGCCTGTCATACTTGAGAATATGAATTTTCACTATATTCTGTTCATCCTCTAAAGGTGGTGGGTGTGGGTGCGGGTGCGGGTGCCGGTATGGGTGTGGATGGATGTGGGTGGGTGTGGGTGTGGGGTGTGCGTGAGTGTGGGTATGGAGTGTGGGTGCGGGTGTGGATGTGGTTGTGGGTGTGCGGGGTGATGTAGGTCTGGGTGTAGAGGATGAGCATCCACACCGACGCCCATACCCTCAAGTTATTTTATCAATGGCTCTTCTGAAGCCGTTCTAGGGAACAAAAGGGTTAAGCATTACTTAAAGTCTTCTGTTTAGAAATTAATAAAGAGAATATTTATTAGATTGAAAATATACTTCGAAGTGAATTCCAAAATAATTAAATATTTTCACATGGCGAATAAGTCAAATAAACTTTCTTTTTTTTCATCTTTCTCAAATAGGGCAATATGTGTTGTATTCACTTTGACCTACTTTTATTAATATAAAATACTTCCAGTTTCGTAACGATAGATCATCACAATTGTAAGAACAAAAAAAAATGTTTATAGATATAATCTACAGTTGTCTTTATCTTGGTGAACTCATCAGTTTCTTAGATGTTTTTCATTGGTTATATCCAAGGGGGAAACAGCGGACTTCAAGACTTCAAAAGACTTCAACAGACTTCACTCGCTGTGACTTCATCTTTTCACAAGACTTCGAAAGACTTCTAAAGACTTCTGAAAACTTCATAGGACTTCAAATGACTTCGCAAGACTTCATAAGACTTCGTATGACTTCATGGGACTTCATGGGACTTCAAAAAACTTTGAAAGACTTCGTTAGACTTCACAGACTTCGTGAGACTTCAGGGGCTTCATGAGACTTCCAGAGTTGCCACCGCTTCTGCTTTTAGCAGAAAAATTCTGCTTTTTGAAGATTTTTCTGCTTTTTTTCTGTCGTTTCTGCTTTCTGAGCATTTTTCTGCTTTTTTAAAATACTGTATTATTTATATTTTTAATCAAGATTTTTGCTTTTAAAAGTTTTTTTCATCATTATAACAAAGTTCTTGTCCATACTTACTAGAGATATATTGAGAATGAATAGTGCCTAATAAGGATAACAACTTCTCTGTTGCAAAAATCCACAAAACTCGGCGAGATTCTTATGGAGAATTGCTGAAGTTGATTTCATTTAGCTGTGCGTACAATCAAACAGATTGACTGATATTAAACCTTTTACTTCCTTATCGGTCTGGTTGGTTGTATGCATAGCTAGATGAAATCAAGCTAAGTAATTCTAAATAAAAATTTGATTGGATCTTGGCAATTCTGACAAAAGAAAACTTCTCATCTTTCTTACAGAATCTTCACTCTCAATACATTCCTAATAGTTATTGATGTTTATCTTCTATTCTAAATGATGATAATTCAACAGTGAACAAAATTGTCAGATCCGATCAGTTACGGGTGTTTATTTTTCCTCTCATTCAATCACCACATTTTAAAAAGTTCATATATTTGTTTTATTCTCTATCATGTGGAAATGCTTATGCTGACTCAGCATTCTCATAATTGAAACATTTATTATATGATCAAAGGACTGCATGAGAAGAAAACTTATATCACCTGAATTAACAATACGTTTAAAGTTTTCCTTATCATGAATAAGATGTGTAAATATTTATTAGATAATCAAGATTTATTAAAAGCTACTTAACCAGATGACAAATATGTAGTCAATAGAAACTGTATCTAATAATTCTATTTGTCAATTAAGTAGTTGTATTTCTTGACCTTGTACAATCCTATTTCTTTATGGATTGACTATTTTTCATGATTCTGTACAAGAGAGATCAAAATTTGATATGAAAATTCTTCATTAGTACACTGGAACAATGTTTTAAAATCGTTTACATCACAAAAAATATGCTTTCTGCTTTTTTTCTGTTTTTCAGTAATAAAATTTCTGTCATTTTCTGCTTTTTATAAACTATTTTCTGCTTTTTGGACTTCAAAAGGTGGCAACACTGGATGGTTGTAGATAGAAATCGATCTATTGCATCAATTGCAGAGTGAATAGTAGCAACTACTACACTTTTTG